AATGATTTTCGGCTAAATGGTTGTCGGTGAAATATTACGTCGGTAAAATGATTTTCGGTGAAATGATACGGACCCGTTAAAGTTGGCTGTTGGTAATGTTAAATTTGCATCCCCACAAATAGGAGAATTTTTAGTTATCGTATTTAGTAACTCAAAAGTATGTCAATCAGTGTTTACTCACGATTGTGTTTGCGTTTCCCATATTCAGCAACTCAAAGTATTCTTATCGTTATGTCAGTTTAATCGCCTTTGTATTAAAGTTTTATCATAATAAACTGGGTTTGTAAAGTCGTGCAAGTGTGTGAAAATAGATTATGTCAGTTACGGTAATCTCCAATATTTACTATTATAATTTTATTATACGGAGCTGGACTATCATAGAATGTAACATTGCATAAAGCTTGCTTCAAAACTAAGTCAATTTAACTGATTGTCTTTACTGTTCCAATATGTCAGTTCGAAATGGACATAAATTTCCGTCTGACATATGTATTGTTTTTTTTCCTCTACATTATAGCAATTCGTGGCTATTTACCTCCGCTATTTTCTGGCATTCACTATTTTTATAATGTTAGAATAAGAATAATTAATCGACTCTTGATAAGAAAAGGGAAATGTTCCGTTAACTGATCACAAACACTTGTCACGTGTGCACACCTGTTTTTGTTATTGCTATTATATTTGCTCAAGCTAATAACAACTTGGTATTTTAATATTAATCAAACTTCGACAATAATGGTAGCGTTGAGCCATTGTAATTGCAATGTCAATGTTCTATTTTTAAATGACAGGCACCATTCTAATAAAAAATTACGACAATCTATTACGATTAAATCTGCCTTTTAAGCTATTTATAGGGTGTATATTATACGTAAAAATATATAAACAATGAAATTATATAAAACCTGAAAAATCGAGCAAATTAATACCAGAGTTATCTGCATTTTCCGCATCGATTGCTTCTTTATCAATGGTGTAAAGCCAAAGATCCATATACTCTGGAAGTTTTTTATCGGAACGCACTATTACGCCATCCGGATTCATACTTGGAAACCCCTTTGAGCTATCATCAAACACTTCGAAGGAAGAACCGACGGAGCTGGCTTAAATGTAAAAGTAAAATAACCCCATTTCAGTAAAGGATAAATAAAAAACTTGGTGCTCTGTAAATTCTGAATTTACATTACTTGATTGTTTTCCAGTTATGTATATTTTTTTCATAATCCTGGACAACGTGTAAAAATAAACTCTAACGTTATCGGGTTCAGCATACCAGTTTTGAGTAGCTTCGACAGAAATTTCCTGAAACGTTTTGTTGTGTCTTTTGGCAAATGCCGAAAAGTTTCTCCGGTATAGCAGAAACTGATTTGGGACTTGCCGTATCTTAGTGTGTTTGGATGATGGTTTTAGCAACTGATCGATTGGCAAGTGTAGAGTAATAGGCGGGTTTGCTAAAAGCCGTTTTTCCCATTCATTTAAATTTGTATCGGAAAAGACACGGAGCGACTTGGCAGTTTTTGAGCAAATTCGTAATGTGGATTGACCAGTCATTCTTATTTGATGAGACAAAGCTTGATTGTTGAGAATAACCGATGATGAAGATGGCAAGAAGAAGTGCAAATTTATATAAATTGTCAGTTGGATGTGCTTGCGTAGTTTAACGTGTTCATATTACTAAAACAATTACTAGTAATATTTTATTGGTGCAGAACTGTTGCTCTTGTTCAAACTAATGAGTATGCTTACTGGATCCTTTATGTCAATTAATTTACAATCGATGGTAAGTGAACGTAACTTGTTATTGGATGAAACGAACATAAAGCAAAAAAACAGATAGACATGTGTAAAATGTTGATGATTGTATTTGTATTACAACCATCGGACAAAAGTTTTATTACGGACAAATCTTATTGTTGCAGTTGCAATAGAATAGGCAATAGAGTGTGAGTGATGTTACTATTTTTATATGGAAGTAGGGAGGTAGTTTACACTAAATGTGATGTTCGTTGACATTCCCTGATCTGCAGTCACACGGCTCGATCATCGTGACATTTATTTGGCTTATATTAAAAATCCATGTACTGAAAGGGGTCCGTTCATTTCCCCGACAATCACTTCTCCGACAATCACTTCTCCGACAATCACTTCCCCGACAACTCACTTCCCTGACAATTATTTTCCGACAGTTCCTACCAAAGTTATTTAGTATCGAAATATTTACTGGGAATAATTGTCAGGGAAGTAATTATCGGGGAAATGAACCAGACCCGTACTGAAACTCGTAACGGGGCGCCACTCATGATTATTATCCAATAGTTCAAACTTTTTAATGAATTTGAAAAGCAAAAATTAGTAATTTTGATTCCGCAAAAATATAAGCAATACTACAGTATTCTCCAACATAAGCACGCATAAGCATTGTTATACTAATGAACACTACCGCTTCACTTGTGTTGTAATAATGTTCGTAGATCACCCATGACTTTGGATACACTTCTCCTTTTGTAGTTTTATCCCAACCCGAGATAAAACTGTTGTTTTCCAAAAACAAATGGTATTGTCGCTTTCGCAAATTGGAGTAAAATTCCAAACCTTGCCCTTCTCTGAAAGAGATAGGGCGTTCCATTAGGTCAAATGTAAAGTCAGTTTGCAGTGTCTATTAATATATATTAATGCGCAATTATAAAACTTGCCTGTCATTCGAAATTGATATTTCTTAAACTCACCAGCTTGAACATTCTACAGCATTTAATAAAAAGATAATCATTGTAGTATCTGTCATCAACCGCCGATTACCTTGTATACGAAACCGTATATATTTCTTAGTTTATTTGACTGATTAAAAGCTTAGATTAATGCAGGGTCATTGTTATTAATAGATATATATATTCTAATTGTCCAGATATTTCCAAACATATCACCAACTTGATAAATAAATTGTTACGACAAGCCGACAGATAAGTAAGCCATGTAACAAAATCTTCCGGGAAGGATTAGGATTAAAGAAAACAGAATTGGAAAATGTTTTTTTTCCATGTATAAAACTGTGAATGGATAGTCGGTTAATGAGACCAAATTGGAAAAGGAGGACATTATCAAAACGCTGAATTGTAGATAAAGGCTTTTAAACAAGCATAAGTCTTTATTAAAATAAAACTTTGTAAGTTTGGTTGGAGCGTCCAAGAATTGGCAATGACAATTTGTTATTACAAAAGATGGAACTTTCTAGCGCTGTAATGAGGAAATTCTGAAAAAAGGCGAGTCACATGAGTATACTAGCGAAGATGTGTTTTGATAAGACAAAGCTTTATTCATTCACATGCCATTCTTTTTCACAATTGTCTGTTCCAACATTTATATTTCTATTAAAGTTTTTGGAGTTTCTTTCATTTACAGTACAAAGTGTGAATTGCGTTTGAATAGCGTTAGTTATATGAACCATATTTTTCATCCAGAATCGAAATGGAGTGATAGCAGTAACCAAATAGTTGATAGAATGTATCATATCAATCAAGGCTACATATAGTCTTGCCTTTTTTTCTCTTATACTTTCTCTATACTTTATTACTAAGGGTGAAACTTGCTACTTACCTATCTATATCCTACCAAGGATATATAGTTCTACCTATACAGGATTACTTGTTCTCATCGAATGTGTGGCTACGGACAAAACAATAATATTGTATAAATTATACATAAATTTTTAACGGACAATTGAGATAAATGCTTTAATTTCATTCGTTCAACTCGCAGTACACTATAATATTTCCATTTCTAGTATAAAAATGAAATAACTCCGATTTCTTTATTACATGTTATATATATATTATCATATTATATTCTTCATTTCTTCGGAGTTACAGTGTACTCGGATTAGTCACTCGATCATCGGAACATCTTCAGCCACTTAATATCAATGTGTGTAATCGAAAATAAAGTATAAGAAATACAAGTTTTTTTTCTACGGATACCCGAATGATACTACAGTACACATACTTTTAACTTTATATCGCAAACATCTAACTTAGAACTAGTGTGTATGATATTTTTTCTGAAACAGATTCTTGTTAAAACTGTCGGATGTAGTAAACATCACACCATTCAACATGAATTACGGATGCGAGTTCCGACCGTGTGTTATGATGGGACAATCAATATAATCAGAATTAAAATGACTAGATAACTGTACGTTTCGAATATAGCATGCATGATATTGCCAATAACACATGCAGTTACTAACTCTCTAATGCACTTTAGCCACATTAAACAAGATTTAATGGTCTTATGACCATATGCTAGACGGCAACTGTCTTGTGAATACTGTTATACACGTATCCAAATATGATCACTGATTGATAAGCATTGTTCATGTTTACACTTAAGAGGAATGCACAGTATGAACCGCCGAGAAAATCACATGGATAAGAAATTACGAACTGCAGCAATCAAACTGCGGTCTGATTTTTTGTTGGTAGCCGCAGCGAAGGAACAATATTGTGCAAATTACTAATCTCACGCACTATTAAGGAATCAATCTAGACAAGTTAAGCTACAATGTCGCCACATATGAGCTAATGAATGGTGAGCTTGAGGGAAAAAAAAGTATGCTTTATTCGAACACAATGCGATTATTACCATCAGCCGGGAAGACTACTCAAAACACTTAAATATGAGATTTTCCCTAACAGACAATTCACAAGCACGTAAATTCGATAGGTAACAACCGTTACTATTTTTCCACTCGCCGCAAAACCCAGAATTCTTCGACTCTCATATTTTAACCCAATAATAAAGACGTATATTATGGCACAATTTACGCAGTCAGTAAGATTTAACATGGCTATACAATACCAAAATAGTGGATCCTACGACGAAGCTATAAAAATATTACATCAAGATGCCCACAGTGGATATCCACCGGCACAACATCACCTAGGCGATACATACCGGTTTGGCATTGGCGTACAACAAGATAATGTGAAAGCATTCACGTTTTATCAAAGGGCAGCCGCTAACGGTCTTGTAGAATCGTTGTACAAAGTCGGCTGTTGTTATCAATTTGGTATTGGTACGAGTAAAAGTCATTCAAAGGCGTTTGATTATTATACAAGTGCAGCCGCACAAGAATATCCGCCTGCATACTTTGCGCTCGGATACTGTTACGGAGAGGGAATTGGAACCGAGAAAGATGAGGACCGAGCCCTTGAATATTATTTGAACTGTGGAATAGCTCCCGCGCTGTTTGAGCTCGCGCAACGCTACGAGGATGGAAATGGCGTGCGACAGTGTCACCGGCGCGCTGTATTGGCATATAAACAAGCAGCTCACTTAGGTCATCCATATGCCCAGTATAGACTCTCTTTGTATTATTATTACGGTACGGTGGTTGAAAAGGACTATAACAAAGCGTTTGAACTATGTCTGGCAGCGGTGGAAAAGGGAGTGACAGATGCGCAATGCTTGCTAGGTATGTTTTACCAACACAATATAGTCAACAACTCTTTGGCATTCGAATTATATACGCAAGCCGCAGGGCAGGGAGACACTTGCGCATGCTGTTATCTTGGAGATTGTTATAAAAATAGTATCGGGGTTGAGCAAAATAGTCGGCAGGCCTTTGTATGGTACGAGAGGTCTGTCGAACAAAAAAATTTGGAAGAACAGTATGTCTTGCCAACTGTTATAAGGACAGAGTTCGGGTGGAGTCGGACTTTATAAATTGTTTCGAGCAACGGCCAATCAAGGCCACTAGTCAGCTAGAAATATTAAATTATTTACGATAGAATAAGCTGCAGTTAGCGGGTGAAATATATGATTGAGAGCTATTGGAACAAAACCAATGAAACATGCAATAAAAAAATTGAGGGAAAATCAGGCTATTCCGTTTAAACTTCAACAAAAGCGGTACTTAATACTTTGCTTAAAATGCCCATTCGTTAGTTTGGAATTATTATCGGTTAAGATTCTCTTTGAGCAATTTTGTTACTATTAATAGTACTGACTGTAGTCATAAATCATAACCTTCAAATAATGACCATTAAGTTTTATGTCATATATTACTGATTTCCACCAAGTAAAGTTGTCACGCCGATGAATCTTAATACTAATGTGTCATATATTCGAACAGACCATCACCTGTTAATATTAAAACTTTTAAAGCAATCAATTACCGTAGACCGCTGACTAAAGTACTCTATATTTTACATTTCACACTTTTTAGAGGGGTATTTTTACATTGACAACCTCATAGCGTTTGTGTATCGCATTCTCTTCTTCCATGATTTGCACTAACAAACCCCACGATGTTTTCGTATCACCAAACAGATTCGCAGGAAATGGTCGACAAGAGAGAACACAAGCGTAAAGCGCTACACTTGTGTGTAATGGAATCCGAAATAAGAGCTGTTTCTTTTCCAATGATAAATCGCATTGTCGCTTTCCGTGTAATCAAGGTTCACTGAAATTAATCGACCAAGTGATTTTTCATAAAATCACAGAAAGTCCTCATTGAGAACTGGTTGGCGCTGAGAGTGCAGTAATAAGAGGAAAATCTTAATACTGCCGCCCACCAAGTATTATGATAAAACTATTATTGAATTGTGAGCATAATAAAACAATAGATGCGCATATAGAAAACAAGAGACTAATACGTAGAACAGGGGAGGAAAATCTACAAAACAAGAGATAAAAATATAAAAAAATGATCAAAACAAGGGAGAGCTAAATACAAAACATGAAGATGATTGTTGTAACGTAATACGGCTTTTTGTTTTGCGGGTTCGTTATGACGTATAAATAGCCTTGTTTGCTTGTGTGCAATCAGGCAATTGAGTATTCGATTGTTTGCATTGCTTCCCTGTTAACATTGATTGATTACATCATTCCCAATTATACCTTATAGTCGATATATCTTACAGCATAGCAAGCAGCGATTTCGGTCCTCCATCAAATACATGATAGATTACATATCGCATTTGTAGATACTGTAAGGCTTTGAGACACAGTACTACGGATATCCGCTCTTGATCATATCAATCCCAATGTTTCTTGCTATACATGTATATAACCCAGCCCAATGATAAGTGCATTTCGTAAAAAATTATTGTTCGACATTTGTGGAAAGCGCAATTTGTACAAAGTATTTTAGTGAAAATTTCCGGAGGTAGATACACCTGACTCTCGGCTAAAAGTGCATTTAGACATTTGTTGCGCATGAGCGTTGTTTTGTCAAATGGGTTTAAAAAACGTGTTGTAGATTGCAGGTAAAAAACCAGCCTCAAATCATAAACGTCTTCAACGCGCAGCGTATGGTTTTACTAAACACAAGTATAGTGATCAATGATTTGTCCGAGTAGTTCCTTAATAGTGTATAATGGAAAGAGCGTCAATACCTAGCATTTAATCTCATCGTTTCCCCACTATCCGAAAATGAGATCCAACGAATACGAATCTTTTCCCCAAATTCTTTTCAAGCCTTACTCTAGCTCTCCAATACTCACTCTATAAAATATTTCCCATTTCCTGGTGTAGTGGCCAAGCTATTGCTCTATATGTTTGGCTAGAATCATCTCTAGTTTCATTTCATAATGAAACCATTCTTTCTACCATTTCTCGATGCGTGGTGCATTATCTTATTCTTCATCGTTTTCAAATTTCTCAGTTAGGATGTATATTCAATAATGCCTCCGTTTCCATATTATCCAAATATCCTTCCGTAAATTGTACCAAGACCCGCCTCAACTCTAGCCCGCAAAGTTCTCATTTCAATACAGCAACATC